CAGGATCGAACCTTACTACATAAACCTGCTTGAAGTCTCCTCTTATAGATTTCCCACCATATCAGGAACAGTGTTCACTTGACTTATTTGGTGGTGTGAGACCTCTGAACAAAAAATTGCAAAAAACCTACAGACCAAGAACACTTAAAGTGTTATAAAATTCTAGTGAACATAAATAATATTGTGTTAGTGCTGGTGAATATTATATAAAAAATGTATATATAGTCCTGCAGATAACTTTAAACATTAGGCCCACAAAGTGTAATCAATTATGTAACCTCATATTTGCCTTGTGATAGATACATTTATTGTAGATCATGCAGCCTCTGCTCACAAAAGTTCCATTTCAGTTAAACAGAACTGTAGCACCAGGCCCATACTGCATACCCTGGTGCTAAATAGGTAGTTGTAATATAATTATGGGATCCACAATTGTGACTCTTTACACAATGTGTATGAGTTGTAATTTAATGTTGTCAAAATAGTTTTAGGTCTCTTTCAGTTGTCTTTACATGTTGGACATGAGACTGCTCTGTTTAGGCAATCTTGTTATATCCTATTTATTAATTTTTACTCTGGAATAGGACCAAGCTATTTCAACAGTAGAATATCTGTATTTAAAATAAGTCATTGATAAGAATACAATATTAAAAGTACACTGTAATGAGAAACATTTTAGGGGGACAGGTGATCCTGCAAAATACACATTTGAAAATCTAAGAAGATTTAAGGTTTTTTCCAAACCACTAAATGATATGCTATACTGACAAAAGTGATAAGGTAGATCAGGCCCTTTCTACACATTATTCTTACAATACATTAATCTAGTAAAGAATACACTTTTAACAAAAACATTTTGTTTTCATCACTGTATTTTGTCTGCTGGGCAGCATTTGTAACAGCACAGATCTTTATTTCATAAGTTGCACCTGCTCACACATGGGAAGCCAGTATCCCTTGAGAGAACCTTGCCTGTATGTCTCAGTATTATGATGTAATCTTTTAACTTCCATAAAGGTTAAAAGTTAACTAGATGTGTAAATAGAGAATGTATGCACCTGAGAGTCTTTGTCATTTATAAGTAACAAAAATATTAAAGCACAGAAGAGAAGTTATTGTGAGGACTGTTTTATAAAAAAGTTGAACTATGCGGACTATGAAGTGATACAGAATTGTCTGTCTGTTTTTTTTAAGTCAAGTAGTTGTTTTTGTTGAAATTGACTCTTTTCTACATTGCATAACAGTGTGACTAACAAGTGTCTTTGGATAGAGGAAATTTCAATTTAATTGTAATCTGACTACATAAAAATGTCTGGCTTTCACTCTTCTTTGCTCTCTTTATTGCTTTTTATAATATAACCTATGTTGCCTAACATAGGACACAACCTTTCAGTCAGATATTTGTGCTTTACTTTGCATCACTGTAAATTTGAAGATGAGAGACCTCTACAGTTGTGACAAAGGTTTGGGTTAAGAGGAAGTGTGACTTCACATATCCTGGAATTATGAATGTCAAAAGAATATTTAACTTGCCACGTATTCTAGAGCATTAAACAAACAAGTCACATTTAGTGTTTGTTTAACTTGAAGAAAAGATTTCAACTTTGATTCTGATAGCAAGAAAATTAAGTGGGGGTTGGGTTGATTTTTTTTTTCAGCATTTTTTGAGACAGGGAGCTGACAGTTTTTTATTTTCTATTTCTATTAACATTTTTGGCTTGATGTTGAGTGGATTAGGCTCAAATTTCATGTTTGTGTGCAAGAGGATATCTTCTATACTTTTTCATATGCCAGTTGGGAAGGCAGAAAGTGTTTTATTCCCTTACCAACAAGTATAATAACTAGCAGCATTTCCTCATACTCTTGTAGAAGGACATGTGAAAAGCCAGTTGTTTGTCCCTTGGGTCAGTAATCTTAGTCATACAGCACTGGCAGTATTTTGCATTTTTCATAAGTAGAATGTAACAAGGCTGTTCTTAACTTGCTGTCCTGATATTGACAAACAGGACTGTTTGCGCTATCAAGACACATTCTTATAAATTAAAGACATACATGTAGTTTGTGTGCCAAATTTTGCTTTATATATCTCTTCTTTACCTCACTGATCTCAGTTGAATCAAAGGGAGTATAACTTAAGACAGCATTTTGCCCCATACCCTTAACCCGTCTTTCAGTAGATCTAGATGACTAATCTGTATTCCCTCATTTTTCAGAAACATTTTTTTGTTTTGTTTTTGTGAGTAATGTTCCTTTTTCTGCCTGTCTTTGAAAGTAGCTTTTTCAAAATTACTTGATTGGCTCTCTCCATAATTTCAGCTAGTGATCTCTTAATTTTGAATTTGCATCTACTTCATAGTTTTAGTTTTTCAGGATAATTCTACAACATATTGTATTCAAAATGAGAGCTTTACCCTGGTTCTTGGAGCTGAACTCAGGAAGACTAGAAGATGGTGATAGGATCACAGTTTTCAAAGAACAATAGGACATCAGTTGAAGAACAACACATACTTTTTCCCATTCCTCCTGTGTGTGGATAAACAGTCTCACTAATCTGTCACAGCACATATTTAGTTGGTTAAATGTTTACCCAGTAAACATCTCCCTTAACAGGTAATGCTTACCGGCTGATGGTTAACTGGTACCCGGGAATAGCCCTCTGCACGCAGCCCAACCTAGGATAGGGACTGGCAGGAAATGGCCTGCGGTGGGTCTGCTCTAGCCTGGCCCCTCACCCGCACCCAGTTAAACAGTGTCTGCAGTGTGTTTACCCATTTAAACAGGATTTTACTTCCCTAATACTGTGTGTTCCACTGCATATATTCAGTTGCTGCAGTTTTGCATCCATCATACTACTCATTAGATTTCTACTCTATTACTAGAATTAGATACTATAATAGAGCAAACAGTTTCCCAGTAGAACTGAGGTAGATCTATTCCATCACTAATTGTTCCCTCATTCTATACATCTTCTGGGACATCAACACCTTACACAACATTCGTTTTAAGTATTTTTTTAATCTGTGTAAAGTTGTATTTTCCTTATTACATTGATGATTCTCATAAATTCCAAAAACCCTAGGTCACTGTTCTTAAATAACAGTTATTTATGTTTTTATTTCCTTGTGTGTGTCATGCTGGTAGTGGTTTAAAAATAAAACTGCTGACAATTTAATTTGCTATGGAAAAGGCACTTTATTTTATTTTAGAATGGCATCGTGAATTCATAGAATTTTGCAAGCCCTAGTACATAATTTATTTGCCTATTCTTTCCTATATTGATTACAGGTCAAACCTCTCAAGTCCCACATGCTCTGGTTGAGCAACATCTGTGGTCTGTCATGATGTTGTTAGCCGGATGTCCACTTACCATGGGTGTGGCTAAGTTTCCCATGGTTCCATAAAGTTTTAGTCACCTGTTGTGGCTTTTAGTGTTCTGTGCTATTATTTAGCTCTGATTTCCCCCAAAGGTCTTTTAAGAGCCCAGTTAATAGTGGAAGTTTTGGTAATGCTGCTAGACAATATTGACTTCCTGTGGTTCAGCAAATTCTCTGGTTCAGCACCAGTTAGGCTCCAAGTGTGCCAGACTAGAGAGAATCAAACTGTACTTAGAAAAAATCTAGCACTTTATGTGCTTCTTAAAAAAGCCAGGAGCAAATTGCTTTTCAAAATTCTATTTTAAAAATAAACTTAAAAATCAAATCTTACCAGAGAGTAGCAAAATATTTTTGTGTATCACTCTTAGGTCAGTTTTGACTCTCCAACTTCAGTACCTTTTTAGTTTGGCAGTTACCAAAATTCTGAGTTAGGGCCTTATGGCTTGTTTCTGCTCACATTGAAATCATTTATAAAATTTTCATTGTCTTCAGCGTATGTCTATTTGATTCAATATACCTGACTTGAGCTATATTGACATTGTACTCTTCTATCAATCAGAAATATCAACAAAGTAGTGTTAGAGTAAAGCTGTTTTGGGAGAA